TTTAAAGGATTAAGTTGTTAATACCTTTGATATCAGTCATGGAAAATCCACTTCTCATGATATTTTCAATGTGTGCGGGATTTGCGGTCACTGATTGATCGGCTTCCACTTTCAGCCTATGTTGCCTGATTTTGATTTCATTCCAGCGGCGCATTTTCTCCTCCTCCCTGCAGCAGCTGAGGTTTACAACTGCTCGATAAATTTCCCAAACGTGGACTTACGTTATAAACTCCTGATGGCAAATCACTGGAAGACTAAGTCGTAGAAACTCCCAGTTCGCTTTTTCCATCGTTTCAAAGGTGTTATGGCTGATTTTCAGACACGGGGGACTATCTGATCCGGCTAGGATTCTGATTACGTCGATTTTCGTATCAGGCATATCGTCGGTGTTTTCGAAAATCGGCTGGTCTTTTGTATACCAGTATGTTACTGCTCGGTTCATGTTGCTGGATAAGAAGGAATAATCCATGTAATGTCCAGATTTTGTCCAATTTCAGAATATTTTTACACTCCAAAATAGATAGTCGACCAAAATAGTACTATTTAAATTGGATATTAATAAACTTGCATTGAACCAGCATCGACAGCAGGAGCAAGGCGTCATCCAAAAATAAGCGAGCTAGAAGGACTTGGACCTTTTAGAAGGAGCGTTTGGTTTTGAAGATGTGGATGGAACTCACATCTAACAATCACCAACGCCATAACGATCCATCACAGACAAAAACTGTTGAGAATCGGCATTTCTATTTTCTTAGAGTTGGAAGAATGCTAAAGGAACAACCACAGAATCGCCTTCAAAGCGACAAAAACTATGAAATAGCGGCTTAGATCAGCATCTGGAGTCTACAGGATTGCATGCAGTTGCAAGACTAGAGAAGCTGCAGATTGGGACAGAAAAAAGTCTGCTGTTGCAAAGAACACACTTATGGGATTCTTCCTAATTCTCCTCAAATAAGCAGATGGTTTCAAGAGCTACCAGGGAAGCCATTAAAAATCTGCTCAGATCTGCTTCTTGTGTGTAGAAGCTTAAGTAAATGTCTGCATTTTTTTGTATTTCGCCACTATAGTCAATAAATACTTACACGCAAAATGGTTCATATCCTTCCTGCAATCCGCAGGTGGTGAAATATTTCAACTGGTTTACATCTTGCCCAAAGCAGAGCCGCGCCTTTTGACCCACTCCCAGAGTGAATGCCGGCACAAAGTTATCGCCCTGTACATCCGCAAATGTGGTCTCGCCACCGAGGGCGTCCATCAACAATTCGCCGTTAAGGGAAAAACCTTTAAAATAGCAAATAAATCTGGCCCCTCATTTTTTGCAAAAGCGGTTAGTGCATGCCGATGTGTGTTAAAAATCAATCAAACCGCAAAAAAATACATAGAACATAATTTGATAAGCTTCTGAAGACATTGATTATTTTCTGGAAACGGTAGCACACGTTAAGGAAGAAAGGAATTACTGCGGTTAATTGTTTGACTTAGTCAGAAATATTCGAAAAGCAAAGCCGAGAATAAGGGGTGATGGAGGAAAGGAAGTAGAAGATCAAATGCTTCCAATGGCAAAAACCATTTTTGCATTAAAAAAAAGTACCGTAAATTTTATGCAAATATACAGTAGGGTCAAAAGTACAGTTGTTGGTGCCCTGACAGTTATGGGATCCCGAGAATAAATGCGCCCTTAATAATAAATGAAGAGAAACGAAATGTTGTTTTAATCAGTGAACATCAGTAATTCACACATTAATACGGCACAAACTACTGAAATTAAGCGTCAAATTTTGCAGTTTCTACGCATTTTTGATTGACTCAATTACTATGTAACGCATTCCCACTATTTAAAGCACTCTGTGCCAATAACTCAATAGAAAGTTAGTTTATTTCTTGATATAAAGACAAACTTTATTTTTATTATTTGTTTCCTTTTTAATTTATTTTCGTTTTTATGTGAATCTTAGGATTATTTCCTGATTAAAAATTGTAAAAATGGATCCGCAATCACGATTTTGGATAAATATGTTGCCAGCATGTAAATTTCAATAAAAGGGCAGCATTAAAAAAATAATTTCGCACTGAGTTAACTAAACTGAAATTAAGTGAAATGAACTCAAATTTTCACAAATACCGAAATGCATGCAATTTTTTTCACTAAAAGGCTCCAATAAATATAATCAGCTAAATAATAAAAATAATAAAACGTGACCCTTTCGAAGTTTGCGTCTGTTTTTTGTTGCGAAGCGAGATTCGAAAGAAAGTCCAGAAACAGAAAAAACTGTATCGGAAATTGTTTAGTCGAGAAAAACGAGATACTTGGAAACAAATATGTTGAGCATATTTTTTCAATAACATCGACAAAAAGATTTCTTTTTAAATAATTGCCTTTTTGCTTCTATAGTGCAGGAGTTAGGGTCTTAAATGAACTTTTCCAGATCGTAATTCATACAAGGTTAAACTGAGAGGCTCGACTTTACTTAAGGAATATATTATTACATAAAAATTAAGCGCAGTTGCTTTTTTGGGTATATTGGAGCACGCTCAAGATCCAAAAAGCTAAGCAAACGTAATGCAAACATTGAAGCCAATAGTACTAAAGCGGCTAGATTTTGGTAGGATTCGAATAAGCAGAGGCAAAAGCGGCATGAAAGCATGTGGCGCTGCCCTTACTTATAGTGTGATCAATCAGATCGAGAAAAACTCCAACTACATCTCCCAATTGCCACTGCTTTCCAAACGATTCAGCCGAATTACTATACACTTTTTCCTCCTGTGCAAATATAAAAATATAAAGTTTAGCAAGTTGATTGACTCAAAACAGCCCATTAAATGGCAATTAGACCAAACGAACATACGACATGAGATTAAGGAACACTAGAACAGACTCAATGATGGGATGAGACGCAGTAAAGCTTACTTATGAGCGAGTCTGTAAGGTCCAAAATGCAACCGATTACATCGCCAACTTGCCAGCGTTGTAATCCAAGCGACTCGCAATTACCCCCATGATATTTTCTCAGCTGAATCAGTATTTTATGATGTTTATGGAAAACAAGGAAAACTGGTACTTACGTTGTAACCGTCGAAAGCCCAGGTGTTTTCATCGGAACCCAGCATTGAACCTGGAGCGCAATCTGCCTTCGCCCATCCAACACGCATCGGGCCAGCAGTCAATATTTCGAATTCAAAATACCATTTTCCTGAACCAACTGCATAGTTCTTTTCAGCTCTTAAATAGAAAATGATTGTTAAAATTGGGGTTTTCTCTGGACTAAGCAAGAATTTAACTGTAAAGAAAATCTGTTTTTTGTAAAGATTCTCCTAAGATCCTAGAACTGCTTGCAAAATTTGACAAATCTGGGTCTGTTTGCAATACAAAAARCTTTGCTTGCTGGGAAGTATGGGATGAGGTKGATTCCTGCGAAATCCCACTGTGTTCACCGTTCTTACCGAAAAAAACCATTATTTCTTGAGCACTGGCCGATAGACAAATTTAAATATCACACACCTCAGAAATYTTTTTASAGTCGAAAAAACTGTTCASWCTGATGTCTCAAGACTTTTCAATTTTYGCAGTTTCAGCAACTACTGCAGCTTACCGGTAAGTTCGAAACGCTTGCTGTCTGAGTCTGCTAGCTTCGGCCAAAAGAGTTTCTTGTTGTTCACCAGTGGGCGGATCAATCACATATCCATACACTAGCAGAGTCCTAACGGTCTCAGAAGCTGTGTCTCGATTGGCTTTTTTAATTGCATCGTCAACTTTGTTGTATGGCACCAAATGGGGGCTACGCAACATATCAGGATCCTGAAATAACGCTCAATAGGTGAGATGATATTTAAAGTTTCTAAAGTTACAACAATGCACATTTTTTGCATTGAAAATGCCTAATTGTGAATGAGAACTGGCCCGTTCAAAAAAATGTCCATCTTGCTCCAAACTTATATATCAACTAGAGGAGAAAACTATCTTCGATCTGCCGATGAGTCTCTAACTCTTCATTTGATGTTCGTTCCCGAGCAACGTTTTTTTCTTTGACTTGGAGGCATTTTCAGTAAGAACTTTATCGCATAGCATTCAAACTAGAAAATATCTTTTGTTCTTCAAATATTCTTTGATACTCTGGCTTAGTTTGTTCCTTGTTTTTTGCTCCTTTTTAATAGCTTTCTAATCTAATTTTCTTCTATACATGATACAAAAGTTGCGTCTTGAAAAAATCCAGGTCCAGACTCACCTCATTTAATCCATAGGTCCAGGCTTGCTGAATACGTTCTTTCGCCCAAAGATTGTGCGTATTTTCGGCCAATTGATCAACCAATTCCTCCAATTTTGCAGTAAGAGTTATGGCGCTTAGATCTAAAGGAGCGGGTTTATAACCATTCCCCTGCATAAATGGTTCATTTGGCAACCGGACAGTCTTAATTCTGGACGGCGGCTTGTCCATTGTTATGTAATAGCCCAATGCAATTACGGTCCTGATAAATAAATTAATTAAGAAACGACTACATGGCAATTTGTCACGTACTTTAAGGTCTGAACAGCCAGTTGCGAATCGTATCGTTTTTCGGCGGTTGGCAGCTTATCAAATGGCACCAAACAGGGATGAACATGTCGTAAATCGTCCCTGTATTCGCCCCAAGCCCAGCCGGCCTCGATTTTATTCATGGCCCACATTTCATGTATATTTTCCGCTAACTTGTCCTTGATTGATTCAATATAACTGGGCAAACCAACCTGTTGAATAAGTAAAATATTGCGGTCTAATTCAAAAATTACCACACTTGTACCAACCATGGAAGTATCCACAGGATTGGGCACAAAAGCGGTATCATCTTCTATTAAAAGCGGGCCTGCGATCACGTTCTTGTTCATGTTTCCGAAGTAGAAGCAAGAATCGAGGTTGAGAATCTGTTGCGGAAGCAGGCTTTCCACTAAAGGAGAGAACTCTTCTGGAGGACAGAACTTCAGCTTGCCGTGATCGCCGCCGAGCAAAAAGCGACAACTAAAATGCATTCAACAGTTTTTTACATATTTTCTTGCATTTTCCGTGATGATTACTCACCTCAGCTTAGAAGAGCAACTGATTACGGGAAAGAACATTCCATCCAAGTTAAAGTTTCTGAAACTGCCTCTAATTGGGTTGCCATTGAATGTGAAATATATTTGAGGAATAGTTAAGTCTAAGGCACAACCAATTACATCATCTGCAAATAAAATATGTGACTTTTTTACCAAGGTAGCTACTAGAAAATTGGAACGCCATAGGGAAAAACGCGACGAAGAAATTTGTTTTTAACCAACCAAGAACTCAGAAGAATATGAGCTGTTTGATAATTCGACTCAAACATGACCCTGCTTTTTTCGAGGTTTCTCAAGCCCCATTTGAGCCACAGAATTCGTTTTGGAATCGTTAGTCAGAACTACTTGAGTGAGGAAATTCGAGTAGTTTTGACCCAGAAGGCAAAATTTGAATATCATACAGCTGCTTGGTTTAGTACATTTGAAACAATGATTTAAATTCTTGCTCATAAATAAATGCAATGCGTACTTTAAATTTTTACAACATCGATTTTTAAAGCTTTCAAAAAATGTCGGATTATATTTAGCAGCTGAATATTAAAAAAAAGTCTTTCGGGTCAATAAAGTTAATAAACTTCACAAGAATCAGATGCATCAGCAGTTTGAATGTCCAGGTAATGGTTTTTCAAAAAGCTAAAGCAAATTCTGAACGTGACCCCCCATTCAATTCTCTATCCAACGATGCCAAAACGAATTCTGTGGGTCGAAAGGTTCTTGAGAAACTTCGAAAAAAGCAGCGTCATGTTCAAGTGGATTTTGAAACTCAAAAAAAACCACGCTAATCTAAAACTTCTTGAATTCAAGCATTTTTTGAGAAAACTGCCAACATTTCCTTATTGATGGTTCACTTGCTAAAAAGGCCATTTATTTCTCTACAGAATGACGTACAAATGAGCGTTCTTGCTCATTTTGCCTCCGAGAAATGAGCAAAAACGGGACGGAAAACATGAAATTTTGGCATAATCTTACAC